TCTCTCTCTCTCTCTCTCTCTCTCTCTCTCTCTCTCTCAATGATAAAGTCCGGCTATTAGCTAACGGGTTAATGCATCCTTGAAAGCACATCCTTCCTTTAGGTCCTCTCTCCATTAGCTCTGCTAACTGTGCATTTGCTATTTTAGAATTTGCTGCCAATCTTTTTCTCTAGTCGTTTCATGTAACTTTTAAAACGATGAGTAAGAACTTGCCAAGCCAAAGGCGGAACACCTAAAGTAGACAGACGAACTCGAGCAAAGATCGAATTGAAAACTTGCATGATTTCCATGGGCTTTTTGTGAACATGCTGGTGTGGCTGGAGAGAGCTTGCAATGGGCAGCGACTAGGACGGAGCTGTCTGGTTAGTGGCATTGAACTGTTTCTTGGAGGCAAGCCTATATGCAGAGAAAGGTTTTCCACTAGGATTGGGATACTCCGGGTGCATTTTAGATCAGCAGCACAGAGCGAGGTGGCTCTGGGGGTCCAGAGCTAGAAATAGAGTAGCTACACAGAGCCGGGTGGCGATTGTTCAGAGAAACCGGGGGTGGGGGGGGGGGGTGGGTGGGGGTAATGGTGCTTGGGTTGAGCAGTGAGAAAGGGACAGGACACAGAGCGATCTGTTCAGGGTGTGTGGAGAGGGCCTAGGGGTTGGCATGTAGGTCTTCAACTGACCCCAACGGATGTTTAACTTGACTCTTCCTTGGCAACTAATGGAAAAGCACATGCAGGAGGTAGCTGCTGGGTTAGTGGGCAAGATGATTTTGGCCGGAAGAAAATGGGTTCACAGGCTTATGGGAGATCCCACAGGGGAACACAGGAAGCAACCAGTATTCAGTTCATATGTACGGAAGTTTTCAAAACACCTGAGGCACATCTAAGGAGAGATCGGTTAGTAAGAAATTACTAAGGATTCATCTTTGGAAAAACTCAAAATACTGCTAAGACATTAAGTGAAGAAGTGTGAAAGACAAAATCAATGTGATCTAGAGTGAAGATGAGCTCCAGAGGGTCACCCAAGTCACGCTCAACTTCTTTGCCTTTTAGGCTGGAAAATGCAATTGTGTTAGTCCTCTCAAAAGAGTGAGAATCTAGTCACCAGAGAGCTCACATTTCGATTCTTTTTTGTTTTGTTTTGTTTTGTTTTTCGAGACAGGGTTTCTCTGTGTAGCTTTGTGCCTTTCCTGGAACTCACTCTGTAGACCAGGCCAGCCTCAAACTCACAGAGATCTGCCTGGGTCTGCCTCCCGAGTGCTGGGATTAAAGGCGTGCACCACCACCGCCCGGCTCGATTCTTTCTTAGCAAGCCAACTCATCTTAATAGAAAGGTGGTCATGTGGCAGGGGCAAACGTTTGGAGTTTGCTCTGCCAGATTTCAACTCAGCTTATTACTTGCTGTCTATTGTGACTCCTGACACCCTCAGCTTCCTTGTCCAGAAAGCAGCACGGCACTGGGCAGATAAGTAATTAAGATTAAAGACAAATAAGTAATTAAGAACCAGACAGCCAGAGCTACATAGTGAAACCCCGTCTCAAAACAAAACAAAACAAAAAACAAAAAACAAACAAAAACAAAACAAAAAACAAAATAACAACAAAAAGTACAACATACATGGAGCATGCCATACACTGCCCTGATGGCAGATGGGTCATGTGGTCCTTCACACTGTCCCGTCACAGCAAATGCAGGAGTCTGGAAGGCAGACAGGATGGATGCTAACAGCAGGCAATCCAGACATCTGTGCTGATTTCTCCCAGGAAGGACTTTTCTTCCAAAAGCTACTGAGTTCATGAGCTACCAAGGTTTCAAAAACGCATGCCCCTTCACTTTTAGGGCAGACTCCAGCTGGTCCCCTTTTCATCTTCCAACACTAGCTCCAGAACCAACTGGGTAACACTTACTCATAGACCAGATGCCAAGAACCTGAGGTATGTATCAGAGAGTCAGAGTTTAAACATCACCCCCATCCCTGAGTACAGGGGAAAACGGATCAAGAGAGATGCTGGGGGAACTTTGTTGTTCTGGGGTTTTATTTTCTGAAACTGGGTCTCACTTTGTAGTCCAGGGTGCCTCAAACTCACTGAGTAGCCCAGGCTGCATCCTCTTAGGTGCTGGAATTACAGGCATGCATGAGTACACTTGGCAACATTTTTAAAAGGGCTTTGGATTTTGTTATTTGATCATTTCATATATGAATAATGTGCATTCTGACTATTATAAATCCCTCCAATTTCTCTCCCACTTCTCTTACCCCTCCTCCCTACTGGACTCCTTCCTACATTCATGACTTTTGTTTCTGAGACCTGTGTGGCCATGAATCTGGAAGCACCTGCTGCGGCCTGTTTGAATCTTCAGTGAGTACATAACTAAAGACAATAATGACTGGCCCTCCCCTAGAACATATCAGTATCTGGTAGTTCAGCAGAGAAAGAAAAATGTTAGTTTTTATTTTTATTTATTATTACTAATATTGTTTTTTTCGAGACAGGGTTTCATTGTGTAGTCCTGGCTGTCCTAGAACTCACTCTGTAGACCAGTCTGACTTCGAACTCACAGAGATCCACCTGCTTGTGCCTCTGCCTCCCGAGTGCTGGGATTAAAGGTGTGTGCCATCACCACCTGGCTAATGTTAGCTTTTAAATCTTGAGATTTTTGTTTCAAAAGAAGCATGGTATCTTATTTTGTTACTATGATCTCACATTCAAAAAGGAAAATAATTTCATTTCATTGTAAATATGATCTAGGTTTACTACAGGTTCTACCAAGTACCCACTGTGGACCCTTTGAGACACACCTTGGTGAGATGCTCTTAGTTCCTGTGGAGGGCAAGGACAAGGAAACGCTGTATGCAACTCTGAAGTCACCACCGTAAGGCCAGTCCAGGACCCTGCTCACTACCGTCCACTTGCTAAGCAATGTCCACTACCAACAAAACTAGCATTGCGGATCCAGGATCCAAGACAACAGTGTCCTTGCCCTGGCATGAGTCACTCATTGAACAAATACGTTTTGTGTGTCTTCTACATGCCAGGCCTGGTGATGAGACAGTCTTGGGTCCTCAGACCATGGACACTGAGCTGTATAACTGATCATGTTTCTCATTTATGAAGCTGGAAACCTTAGAAGCCAATCTTTGGTCCAGTCAGTAGCAATTTACAGAACTCTGTGGTATGCCATTTCCAGCCCTGTGATGGCTCCATTTGTCTCATGTCCTACTTCTAAATTTATGCTGCTTTATATTGTCTTGTCTTCATCTTGTGTTTTCTGGACTAAGACATAAACATGTCTGGCATATACACTTGGGTTCACTTTTTTTCCCGAGTGTTATAAGTATATTTTGTTTCAAAAATTAGGATATCCAGTTTTCCTAGCACCATTAATTAAACATGCCGTCTTTCCTCTAGTGTGTATTTTTGGAATGTGTGTTAAAAACCAGATGGCTGCGATTACAGGCACTCATGTTTGGGTGTTCTATTTTGTTCTATGGATCTACATGTCTGTTTTTGCACCGGCACCATACTGTTTTTATTACTATAGCTCTGTAATATAGCTTTGGAACCTGGTATGGTAATCCCTCCAACACTGTTCTTTTTTGCTCAGCATTGCCTTGACTCTTCATAGTCTTTCCTGCTCTCCTATAAACTTTAGGGTTGCTTTTGTTGTTTTGTATTTTTTTTCTATTTCTGTGAAGAATGCAGATCTTGATTGGGATTGAATTCAATCTGTAAAGTGCTCTTGGTAGGATGGTCATCTTCACAATATTAATTCTCCCAATCCATGAGCATGGGGGGGGGGGTGTCTTTCTACCTTCTAATTTAAGGGCTGATGAGCTAGCTCAGAGAGTGAAGGTGCTGACCTCCCAGCCTGACAATGTGACCTCCATCCAGACCTACATGGTGAAAGGTCAGAACCTACTCCAGAGAGTTGTCCTCTGACTGCCACACTCCTATGGCACCCGTATATACACATACATTCACACTCAAAATAAATACTTAATTAACATTCTCAAAAGCTTACGAATCAGAATCTCTGCCATTTATAAAGCATACTTGACATATAACAAGTGCTATGAAAATGCTTTGTTTTACTAACTGTTCCCTTTAACCTTTTCCATCAGTATTTATAATTGTTTCATTAAGAGAGGTAGCCAAGAGGGTTTAAAGTATAATTTAGAGACACTTTAAAGAGCAATAATTAAAAGACTTAATAGGACCAGGGCATTTTTTTTTTAAATTTATTTTTTGGATAGGGGATGGATAAGGTCTTATTAGCCCAAGGTGGCCTAAGACTTGCAATCCTCCTGCCTCTGCTCCCTAAGGCCTGGGATTATAGGTGTGAACTGCCACACCAGGATAAAAGTTTTGATGGTGGAGAAATGGGAAAAGAAAAAATGTCATGGATACAGTACCTAAAAGAACTGGAATACAAATTCTAAAGTAAGCTGTTAACTCACAGGATTCCATAGCTTACAGCACAGCACCATCCTGAGAGAATTTCACTCAGTGTATATGTCAGCCAATGGTGGATGCTCAGTAAATAACTACCGAATAATGTCAAGCCATATTAGAGATCATTTATGAACATCAGCTATATCTACATTAAAATACAAAAGTATATCTATAGACACAATACATTTTTAAAAGGCAACCGCATTAGGATGTCACACAATGATGAACAATCAGGAAATGCAGTTTATTTTGATTTTTATCAATAGGAGTGGTTATATTTTACATTGAAAATGACAATTAGAAAATGAAATATATTACTGTCCATGTTATCTACTAACCTCCCATATTTTAGTCCATTTTACAACACAGAGATAACACTTTAATAGACATTACAAGATACAGCATATCGATAATCATTCCTTAGGATTACAGAAAATATGGCTTATGTACCAGTCTTACAATATGATACAATGTCTTTAGCAGCTGCCTTAAATCTGATTTTCATGTAAGTTTGAAAATTCTGAAATCTGAGTACACAGAAAGGCCTAATTTCCATCCTTTCAGTTAACGTTTTGTTATTAGCCGTTCCTCAGTCAACATCCCAGTGGCTGACCAGAGCAGCATCTCTTAACCAGGAACCGTGAGACAAACAGGGTCATAGATCTTTATGGTTTCATCCCAGGAGCAGTCAGCTACCTACAAAACACAGGCAAAGTCAGAAAACATGCAGGCAAACCAATTCAAAGCTGGTAGCAGATGCAAACCCAACCCCTTAGCTTGTAGGTCATTTACTAGGAAGCATAATTTTAAATAAAATACATAGGGATATGTTTCTGATTGAAAGCTATTTCTCTTTTAAAGATGCGTTTGGGGGACTGTTTCCAACTGAGTGAAGCTGCTTGTGCACTCCTGGAGAGCTAATAACCCCTTGCCTCCTGAGACAATGTTGAAACCTGAGAAATGAGACTATTTACTCAACTGACAGTTTCACATTTTTCTGACAGTAAAGACATAGGGAGAGAGCACTAAGGCATCATGGGAACAATGTTCAGAAAGATCTGAATACATGTCAGAACGTATAAGCTGGTATGGACAGACAGACAAGGTAGAGTTCTTCTCGTGACAAAACGGCTCATTTGAGGTTAGTCTGGAACACACTCTAGAGACCCGGAACACATGTGCCAGTGTCTAAAGCCTTCACCGAGTCATGACACCCCAACTGAAGGGCAGAGCTGAAAGCAGCACTTCAAACACTCTGCTAAAAACAGTCCCTCAAAAGAGACAAATTGTCAAGCATTACTTGCTTAACCTTAAAAGTCAGATTTGACACTGTAGGGCACAAATATTAATTTACTCCTAGGTATATGTTTTTCAAATGTTGGGACTGTCAGGGAAACACCAACTATATCACACACACAAAAAAAGATTCAAAGAAATGAGACCTAGGATTTGAATACAAAGTATCTATAAATTATGTTCCTGAATCCTAATTCATTTCTCTCCAATCCAATTTCTTACTTAGTCACGATTCATAATAATTAACAAATGTTAGGGCCACTGAATGAGCAAATGTTCTTAAGACTATATCTGAATAGTGTACAAGAAAGACAAAAACTTTAATGATAAGGGATTATATAGTCATTCAAATTAATGCAAATAATTACGGCATTCCTCTATCAGTTAAACCATTTACTAAGTTCTACAAATTGAAACATGTTTATAATTAAAATGAGGTTTAAAACTCCAGTATTTTACTGAAAAAGACAAGCCCCTGAGTCTCCATGGATGGTACAGTAGTGGCCTCTTGGTAAGCAAAGGTATCAAACACGTGGTCCTCGTGGAGCCTCTCAGGAGTTAGCATCACTACCCGGATGGCTGCTGGAAGGAAGACTGCTTCCCTTTACCCCAGGACTGCAGTCAACAGAGGGTGATCTCAGTATCTCACAGCACCCAGCTGTGGCCAACATACAGGGTATTTTTAAACTGCTCATAATAAAGGCTGACAAAAAGACAAACAGAGACTTCTAAAGTGAAAACCATTACTGAAGGGAGGAGAGGTGTGCAAACTAGTAACAGTAGAACTTCCGATAATATATACACATACATGGAAGCAATCTAAATGAAACTGCCAAATAACAGGGAGAACACAGCCTCAACTGGACATCTCTCCTGACCAAATGAAGCTTCCAGTATCAGGAATGAGTAAAATCTAATTGAGTCCTTGGCCAAAAGCATCCCAGGAAACCCCCAAACAACCTAGACTATAGCCAAAGCTACTGGTAGCTCTCCACAAACTGACAGCCAGGCCTTATTGCTGGAGACAACACCTTCACAACTCACTCAACATGGAGAAGTCAGGCTGGTGCCTGCCTAGAGCCTTCACCCCTACATTCTAGCATCGTTGGTATAGGCAGGTCCTCTGCACACTCCTGAAAGAGAAACACCAATACCGACATAGCTACAAACCTTTCTGTCTAGAAGAGTGACCTGTCTGTAAGGTATGTTGGTCAACAGCAGCAGAAAGCATGTGCGAGTAACCTACCAACATCTGATTTCAGGCCCATTTCATAAGATGGACCCCCATACCCACTCTGCTTGGGTGGCCAAGAACCTGAGACTAGATAGGCCAGGGGAAACAAAATACTATTGTTCTGTTACAGGAACAGAGCAATAAAAAGACTCCTAATGACATTCTATGCTTGTAGATCAGTGTCTTGCTCAGCCATCATCAGAGAAACTTCCTCCTACAGCAAATGGGAACAAATGCAGAGATCCACAGCCGGACATTATGCAGAGAGTGGGAGATTGTTGATTTTGGGGGGCGGGGGGCTCACCACCCAGCTCCCAAATAAATCACTCACGGAGGCTTATTCTTAATTATGAATGCCCGGCCTTAGCTTGGCTTAGTTTCTAGCCAGCTTTCCTTAACTTATTCTATCTACCTTTTGCCTCGGGGTATTTCCTTATTCTCTTACTTCTGTAAATCTTACTCTTACTCCATGGCAAAGCCATGTAGCTGGGTGGCTGGACCCTGGAGTCCTCCTCCTTCTCTGGCTGCTAGATCTTTGACCTCTCCTCCCAGTTTTCTCTTTCTATATATACTCTGCCTGCCAGGTCTGCCTATCCTTTCTCCGGCTTCGCTATTGACTGTTCAGTTCTTTATTAGATCATCAGTTGTTTTAGACAGGCAAAGTAACACAGCTTCACAGAGTTAAAGAAATGCAACATAAACAAAAGTACCACATCTTAAAATATTCTACTACAAGAGATCTTAGAACACTGAGTCCTACAAGGGATCAAATCCCTCCCCTCAGGGCTCAGGGAACTCTGCAGAAGGGAAGGGAAGAGTCTAAAAACCAGAGGGGATGGAGGACACCCACGGGAATCAAGGCCTTCCAGACACATCAGGGCTGGTGCATACAAGAACTCGCCTGAGATTGAGGCAGTGCGCATAGGACCTGCACAGGTCTGCACCAGATGGGGTCTTAGAGCTGGCCCCATTCCCCCGGCCTTGTTCTCCAAGCGTGGTCCTGGGATCAGCATCACTTAGGGCTGACACACAGCTGAGGGTCTTCAAACCGAAGTCCTCAGTAGGTTTCAATCAGGAAGTGAAACATGGAGCATGCACCTCAGGATGCAGGGATCAGTGATTTCCAGATTCTCAGCTCCTGACCTCAAAACTGTAAATGAAGACCATTCTCCAGCTGTGTGGTAAAGTCCTCTACAGAACTGTCTAATATGCAGCTGGGACTGAAAACCCTCAGACACAGGGCACAGTGTATAACACTTTTCTTAACTGGGTTTTTGGCACTTAAGTAAGACAGTATTTTTGGGAGAACTTTATTTGTAGAAACTTTTTCTTGTTGACTAAAAGAAACTCAAATTTGGGGACTAGGCATCAGCTCATGTCTATAATGACACCTCTCAGCCCTCAGGAGGTAGAGGCAGGAGATCAGGAGTTCAAGGTCATCCTCAGCTACATACTGAGTTAAAGCCCATTCTCAGGCTACATAAGACCCTGTTTCACACAAAACAAAACCAATTGTTAAAGTATATAGCCCCTCCCCAACAACTTCAAATGTTGTCAGAATTATTTAATATATACTTAGGAAAGAATCTCTTCTTTCCTTGATGAAAAGGTTAGCAACGGATGTCTCTGATGTAATGGAAAACAATGTATGCAATAATTTCATTTAAAATCTAAGTTTGATAAGGAAGAGAACTGTAACCCCAGTGGTAGAAGGACTGTGAATCTGATAGTATTCTGGCACAGTACAGCCAGACTCTGTCTTAGAAAAGGGGGCAAAAAAGATAAAGCATGAACTGTCTTTAAACAACCCCCCAGTCCTCCCCGAAGCACCCCTAATCCAAGGCCTATGTTTCTTCCTCCTGTTCTGCAGAAGCTAAACCCAGAATCAGTACTCAAAGACATGGGGAGGCGCTACCAACTAGTTAAGCTATAATAACAATTGTTACTAACAATAAATTAAATTAAAACAAGTTAATGTTTTTATTTATCTTATTTGAGGTTTATTATATAATAATACATGTACTCTGTTGGGTTCTAACTGGCCTGTGGTGATTTGTATATTAGCCCACAGTGCCAAATAAAATGTATAATGATTTAGCAAATTCCAAACTAACAAAAAGCAAAATCTGCTTTAGAGGAAATATCGGCTTCAGACAGAGGTGAGTACATCACGAGACTTGCAGTGTGCTCTGTGCCAGCCAAGAACACGGATGTACGCTACAGGACAGCATTCATATATAGACGGAAACTATCTAAGTTGTACTTAACATGGAGGATTAGCCTGAAAGCATGTGCAGGTGTCTGCTGGGCCAGGGACAGAGGGAAAAGGGAAATGTCTGGGCAGGGGGTAAAGAAGATTGAAGGAAGAGCCAAACCTCCAGCTCCGAGTCAGCAAATAATTTTCCAATGAAAACCTTAACTTTTGGACATGAGACCTTTTCTTTTTCTTGACTATGCTCCAGGGTTTCTTGAGGGCTGGCTGCCAAGGCATGTCTCCACTAGACCCACTGTCCTTCCAGGCCAAGTGTGCATGTGCACGCTGAAGGGCAAGGGCCCTGAGGCTCCACAGCCGCCACCCAAGGGCTCAAGTGGAAATGTATTCCTTCACTCACCCCTTAGCGCTTGCAGATTTCTTTTAACCTGAGCTCCAAATACAAAAGAACTCAGAACTGATATTATCACCATTAGAGGTAAAATGGTGATCTGTTAAAATGTTACACTTCTGCTACTTAACGTACTTAATGTAAAATTAAAGAGAATCAACTCATTTTCATTATTTTCAGAACCTGCAACCTTCCAAGGTAGTGAAAATAATTTAAAAGATTTATGGTCTATGCTATGTAAGTTCCATTTAATTATCTCATCTTTACTTTTATGCATTAAAATAGGCCTTTCTAATTTAAAAAATATGTTATGATATAAAAGTAAGAAATATCCATTATTGTACTAAATGATCAATTTCCTTAGAACACACAATGAAGCATTATTTAAAAACTGAAGGGCTGAGAGACGGCTCAGAAGGTTAAGAACACTGACTGCTCTTCCAGAGGTCCTGAGTTCAATTCCCAGCACCCACATGGTGGCTCACGACCATCTGTAATGAGATCTGGCACCCTCTTCTGTGTTCATAATAAATAAATAAATAAATAAATAAATAAATAAATAA